CTTTTTCCTCTCCTTGGCCATTTCTGGCTGTAGGTGTCTGGGATCACGCTACCTACGTTCTGCCTATGCAGACCCATCCCGGAGGGCTTTCCTCCAAATGGATGAGAGCTGGCTCCCTCTGCCTGAGGCATTGAGGATGAGAGAGGCTGTATGTACCCCCACACGATGGGTATCCTGTGGGAGTCCTTCCCGTTGACCTTCACTGCATCCTCTTCACCCACAGGTTCCTTGTGGTAGTGGACATACTCAAACCAGAAAACGTGGAAAGCAGTTCTGTGCTGCAGGGTCTGGAATACATTGATGTGCCAGGCTCTGCCAAGAAGGACTACAAGCTCACGTTCCTCTCCTACAAGGAAGGAGTCTTTAGCACAATGGTAAGTGTGGACACCAGGCTGCAGGGCCCTTCAAGTTGCCGTTTGCTCACTGAGAAGCTACGCACCTGTTTACATACCTCCACGTGCCCACCGGTGGGACTGTAGGTGTCCTAGGTGGGTACTGGACAGCAGGCACCTCTCCACACACCCCACTCATGTGTCGGTCTCTCTGTGAGGGTCCCACTGGGGGCTGCTAAGGACAGGTGGGTCAGGACATTGGTGAGCTGGAAGCAATGGGCAATCAGGAGACTACGAAGTGGAAATACCACACATGCTTTCCCCAGTCTTGCACTCTTCCTAGGCAGCTGCTTACAGCTGTTCTTGGAAGTAGGGTGCTGAGCTTGGGGCACTCTTTGGGCTGGCTTAGCAGAGCTGGTATATTTTTATGTGCAGAATGACCAGCGCTTCCCTTTTTCTCTGATTCAGGTGACCTTCCTCAATGAGGTGACTAAGGAGTACTTGTTCTACATCGTGACTTTCAAGGCCACTGCTTCGGGACCCATCAGCACTGTTGAAATGACCACCGCTGTTCGGCAGAGAATGTCTTCCACCGTCACGGTGGACAACCCTCTGCCTGTCCCAGTGACGTTTGCCATAGATTGCAAAGTGCCCGACGTCAATGTTCCCCCACATTTCACTGTTCCTGCGCAGTCGGAGGTAGGAGCAAAGCTCGTCCAGTACGCTCTCCTCTCCCTGCAGTCTTTCTGGGAGCAGGTGAGGGTGATGCCCTACATGAACCATCTGGGGCTGCTTTCCAAGGGTGACAGCTCCCACCTGCTAATAATCTGGAGGGGAAGCAGTGTGTGAGAATATTCCTAGTGAGAATCACCCTGTGCTGGTGGTCTGCCATGCTACCCCTTCTGATATGCTCCCATCAGGCCTTGCGTGGCAGGTCCTCGTGCCACATGCTCCTTATTTAATGTGGGTATTTTCAGTTTAGAGTGGCTGCAGGGCATGCCTCACCCCACTGGCAGGGTGTTTGCAGCCTGGATTGATAGGAGGTGGTGTGTGGCCTGAGGGAGTGTAGGGGCATTGTAGGGTGGGAAGCTTCTGGGATAGTGCTGGAGGGCTCTCAGCTGCTGGGGACGGTCCCGCAGGTGAACTGTCCCCCACATGCAGCAGGGCTCTGACCCCAGAGAGGAGTTGAAGTGAGGGAGGGTGCTGGGCTGCCTTCCAGCACTGCGTGAGCACACCAGGGACCAATTTCCCCCATCCTGGGCCCTGCCTTCCTCCTCTCTGCCTGACCCAGTGGTTTTTCCTTTCATTCCTCCCAGGCCGATCTTGTCTTTGAGTACCAGCCCCTGAAAATGGGTGAGAGCACTGGGCGCCTGGTGCTCCAGAGCAGTGACTTGGGCTCTTTCTACTACAACCTGGACCTGAAAGCCACCACGAGCAGGCCGGAGAAGCCCCTCTACTTCTGCACCACACTGGGCTCTAGTCAGACCATCACCACCAAAATCATGAATTACACCCGGCAGAAGACAGAGTATCTCCTCCAGGTGACCCCAGTCTGCCCTGGGCTCTTGCTGGGAGGCAGCTCATCTGGCCAGCATCAGCCCTCTCCGTCAAGGGATCTTGCCCCTCTAGCTTGGCCTGGCATAGCCAGGGTGGCCATGTGGGCCTGGGGGTCTTCCCATCAACGCTGGGCTTATCCCCAGCTGGACTGTCCTCACTTGCAGATCCCTCTCTGCTGCCCTTGTTGGAGCTGCTTTTGCAGGTTCCGTGGTGCCTGGACTTCCACCTTAAACCCCAGCTCTGGCAGTAAGGTCTCTTGGGGTTTAGGTGCAGGGTTGTCCCTGCTTGGCACGTTTGGACAGTCCTTATGGCCATTCATCATGGGCACTCACCAGGGGTATGATGTTGGGTGGGACAGGTGCAGTGACAGGCAAGGGAAAGGGACCCCAGCCAGCATGATGACAGGGAACCATCGGTTTCTTCCTGAGGTACTGGCTCTGCTTTTGTGACCAGCCCCCGCTCCATGGTCTCTTCTTTCCCCTGTGCAGACAAACTCTGCTGACTTCCAGACAGAGAAGACCATCAGCGTGGCCCCCGCCAGCAGCCTGAGGGGCTCGGAGATGAGCGTGGAGGTGACCTATGAGCCCTGCCAGCTGGGCGAAGCCAGGGCCATGCTGCAGCTCTCCTCCCCGCTTGGCGGGGAGTACAGCATCCCCCTCTTTGGCCTCGCCCTCCCACCCAAGCCCCAGGGCCCCTTCCCCATCAAGGCCGGCGGCACCACCTCCATACCCTTCAAAAACGTCTTCCTGCAGCCCACGGCCTTCCAGTACACGGTGGAGCACCCGGCCTTCGCTGTCAGGGGCCCTGAGAGCTTGCGCTCCAAGAAGACCACCTTCATCACCGTCTCCTTCGAGGGCGGCCCGGCCCCAGTCACCAGCAAGATGGTGGTCTCCTGCCCGCGGGCTGCCGGTGGCAGCGGGGCGGGGGTCTCCTGGGTGTACTACCTCAGGGGTCTGCCCCCTCACAAGTGACCTGTGGGGCACCCTGGACGAAGCTGCTTCTCCCAGTGGGCGTTCGTTAATTAACTCAGGGGGTAATTAAAGGTGGAGAGGTCTGAGCCTCTGCTTGGAATAAACGA